TCTGGCTCCTCCAGCATTAAATCTGGGAACTTAGCACCGTGTCGTTCGTGGGCCCCGAGGTCCCCGCTCTGTTGCGTCTGTCCTCTACTCCTTAGAGTCTGATATATTTGGCTTGTATATAATGTGCGTGGATTTTCATCGTACTTAGCGGAGGAATCGGGAACAGTACATTCATTCTATCTTTCTGGAACCAGCAGTCTGTCTAAACGACATTGTTTTTAACAGCAAAAGGGATCCAGAAGCTGGGAATTGGCCCCGTAGGTTGTTAAGGGAGGGGAAGAGAGATTGAACTGTTGTTAAAAATGTTAATTAACAGTGTTGCAGTGTCGAGAGAGATTGGGTGCTGTGATTGGAAGATGTACAATCATTTCATGTTTTTATCCAACGAATTAGAGTTCTCAATAGTGTGTTTACATATTTGAAATCTCAGCGATGAACTTCAATAATGCTTATTGAAGGCTAAAAATGTATTGACCAAACAGCAGGTCTCCACAGTGTAAATGCACAGGACTGTTCTGGGTCGAGGGAGAAGCATTGGGTGGGTGTGCGCACTTGACCCCTCCCTTCCCTCTTCTGCCTGAGAGAGGGCACCGCGCCCCCGCAAGGGCTGTGGTGAAGGACTGGGGCTGGCGGAGTCCCTCTGGGTGCTGAGGCCCGGCCCGTCCATCACGGAATCACTGACTGCGGGCCGCTGTCGAATCCCCAGGGCCTGCATGGTGGGGGTGCTAAGAAACAGGTTGTTGAATGAATAAAGTAACATCAAAGGAGGCGTACAGATTCCCTTTTGGAAATGCACACGTGTGTGACCGTCGCCCTGAGCATCCAGCTCTTCAGAGGGCCTGACGAGGTATGAAATGTGGAAAAACTCATAAGCAGAGGGTGCGGAGCCTGTGCGTTCCAGAAACCCTGGAGGAAGAGACAGCGGCTGGCAGGTGGCAGTGACCGGGGCAGCCCTCGCTGAGGTCTGCCTGGCGCGTGGGCTCTGTCTGGCTTGTGCAGGAGGGAGTGGAGCAGCTGCCCCTTCCGCGCACAGCACTGGGGAGCGCCGACCGGGCACTTACTGTGCACCGCACGCTCTTCGCGGTGACGGCCTCGGGTCTTGGTCCTCAGAGCCACGGGGGGTGGGGGGGAGAGCTGTTGGTTCCATTCTAGAGGCAGAAACTGGGGCACAGGGAGGTGAAGTCACTTGCCCACGGTCACACAGGCAAGTCACGGCAGAGCCTGTGCTATCCAGTTACCGGAGGTGGGGCGCTGAGCTGCGTCCGGGCTGGGACCTAATGGCCTTACTGGCTGACCTGTGGCCCCTTTACGCAGGCAGCGCGTGATCTGAACTCATGGCTGACCTTCACCATCCTACCAGTCAGACTGCAGGTCACATTGGCTTGGACACAGCTGGGCCCTGTGGGTCACACAGTGCCTCGGGACGGAGGCCATTCTGTCCCTTGGTTGCTGGCTGGGAGCACACTTTCTACTCAGAGGACCGTGATCACAGACACATGTTCTCTGTTCGCATGCTGGTCATTTTCACCATTTTTCTCTTTAATTGCCTGTCTGACGGCACACTCTGCAGCCCCAGATGGGTTTTCCTGATGGCTGAAGCCGTTGCCTGCAGGCTCCGGTCTGCTTCCGAAGGGGATGTTTTTAAATGGAACCCAAAAAAGTTTTTTGTTTTGTTTTTAGTAGGCCAGGGCCATCCAACAAAAATGAAGAGCTAGATAAAAATAACGCCGTTTTTTATTACCATAGAAGACTCCGTGTGTGCAGTAACTCTTCATACCGATGCTGCTGCAAGTGGGTGTCGTGCTTTGCTTCTGAACTCAAAGAGCTCGAGATGGTGGCCAAATTTATTTTTTCCAAGTTTACCACTACTGAGAAATGTGACATCCTTTGTTCTTGCAAAACTGAAAGTTACTAATCAATCTAGAAGGAGTTAAGCTGCCCTTGGTAACGTGATGCCAGAGCCCTGCTGTCCATTGTGTGGGTTCCGAGCGAGGCAGCCTGCACCCAAGGACTGGAAGGGGGGGACGCAGCACGGGGCGGGGCAGGACGCGGTGCTGGGCCTTTTAAAACTCAACGTGGATGTGACCTCACACTTGGACCCCTGCTGTTTTCCTGGGCTGAGTGGACAATGCTGATCTGCCCAAGAGCCTCTCTATCCCAATGAGATGTTTTCTGTCCTAGGCGAAATTAGATTTCAGAAAACACTGCTTTCCTTTCACGACCGTGAGCCGACCGTGAGCCGGCTGCTGTGTGCGCCTTCCCGGCCCAGATCAGGCCTCTGAGCAGATGTGATAGATTAGTCAGGGCCCCCATCTGCTAACGGTCACTGCTGTCTCCGCGTTTCCTGACCAGTATCAGGGGAGGTGGGACCTGCTCCGTGCAGGGCCTGGGAGCAGCCAGAGCTCAGGCCGCCCGGGCAGCCTCTCCCTGGCCGAGCGCGCAGAAGCGGGCTTCAGCAGGGTGTGGACTGTTGTGGCCTTAGCACTGGGAAAGGACACTTCTGTCCGAGTTCACACTTCGCGCGGAAGAGGGAGATGAAGGTAAAAAGAAGTCCTCTGGCCTGCCCAGCATGCCGTGCACGGTCTCGCTTTTTTTTTTTTTTTTTTTTTTTTTTTAAAACACTATTTCTGCGGTGGTCAAAGGGCTGCTAAACGGGTTTGGACATGTCTTTAAGATGGCTGCTGTTTCTGACTGCCCTGTTCGTTCAGCAGTGGTGACAAATGCTGTTGCTCTCTCCCCTATTGTAACATGCCAGGCCCTGTGGCGGGTCACGGAGAAAGAGTAAATACCAGCCACAGCCTGTGTCCGAAGGTGTATGAGGGCTGCAAAGCCAATACACAGGAAACAGCAAACTGCGAGAAAGTCTAAACGCAGGGTCGGATATGAATATTTCAGTTAAATAGTTATTTGTGTCATCATTTGCTTCATGGCTGTATACCTTCTAGGCCAAATGTCCCTTAAGGAGAGGGACTGAATCTTCATCTTTTTCATTATTGTACTCCTAACACCTGGGACAGGCGCCTAACTATTTTTCCTAACTGAACGCTTGTTAACAAGGATTTAATACTTAGTATCTTGGGGTGATGTCTCCTGCATGACTTGTTTTCCTTAAAAAAAAAAAAGTCACAAAGTTTTCAATATCTGAGTCAACCCCTCATAAGCTGGACAGAAAGTGAGTGCCAGTCTTGGCAGAGAACGAGAGTCCTTGGAGTTGCAATAGTCCGGGCAGCTGCGCGTGAGCAGACGACGTAACTGTCTCGGTGGGATTTAAGAGATACAGGAAAGCGGCTCTTTAAAAACCATATAAAAATTTTCCATTAGACATTAATTCACTGCGTAGTGAGGGTTCTGAAGTCTTCCCATTTCTCCACTCAAGTGCAGAAATGACACGCTAAGCCCCATTCTCCTAATGTTTTTTCAGGCTTTTTTGAAATGGAGGCCCAGGGTAAGCGGTGGGGATAATACAATATTGTGTCCGCAAATAACTGGGCTCTGCTGTATCCGTGTGGCAATGAGCTCAGGTGGAGATCAGAGAAGCAGTTTTCAGATTCCGACTTTGAGAGAAGCACCTACGGATCACCTTGTAAGGAACTGAAAGAATTAGGAATTGACATTTAAAAGCATTTATGACTGATAGCATCAAAGCTCCACATATCACATTATCAAGTTCCGCCCTGGCTGGGTAGCTCATTTGGTGAGAGCATTGCCCCGATATGCCAAGGTTTTGGCAAGCTCCAAGTGTGCTGTCATTTTTCCCAGTAACTACAGTGTTATCTCCAAGATAACCAAGCTTATGGGAACCAGATCAGGAAGCCAAATCTTAAACTGACTTCTCCTGAAACCCAGACCCATTTTCAGTTGCAGATTTGTCACATAAGCTGCCAAACATTTATCTGCAGATTTGTCACATAAGCTGCCAAACATTTTATCTGCGCCCAGAAGTGTGCCCCGTGACTTGAGAAACACCAGAATGCTGGGCGTTTAATTCTTGAGATTCTTAGGAGATTGAATTCTTGGGAATCATCCCGCAACCTTGAACAAAAAGGTGAAAACCGTCCACTTTGATAAATGACAGCAGAAGGACCCCTCCATTCAATGGGCCATTTGTAAATATAAAACAGTTGCTGGAAAATTATATTAGAGATAAATTATCTCCTCCATTACAATGTTTCCTTTTCTTTAATGCAATTTAGTTCAAGCAAAAGGAACAGAAAGGCTCAGGGGGCGGGGGCGGGGGGCGGTGGCATTCAGTGCTTCCGAGGAGTTACTGGAAGCAAGCTGCGGAGCGAGAAAGGTGATTCGTAGAAGACCTGGAGCAGGGGCAAGCCGAGGCCTTCTGCCCCGGAGGCCTGCGCCAAGGACCGTGGCTGTGCCCACGGGAAATTGAATTCAGAGCTCCTTCTGCATCATAAATCCAGGGCAGCTGGCAGCTTCCCAAGAGAGCCTGGATCGAAACTGCAAGGGCATCTGAGGCCACACTAGCCAATGCGTGCGGAGCCCGCAGAGGGTGGGCCCCAGGTGTGCCGGCTTGGGACCTCATGATGACGTTCATTTATAAGCCTTACACTTTGTTAATTTTAAAGTGCACTCATCGGCAGGAAAGGAGAGTCTCCATTACATGTCAGAAAGCTGAAAGGCTGGAATCACTCTAAAATTTCTCGGAGCCGAAGGGGAAGGCCTGAATCTGGAAGACGTGCGCGTCTTGATCCTTTTCCCTGAGTGCACGTGTGAGGAGGACCCCTCACCTCTGGGTTTTGTGGAGTGGGCGTCCCCGTGTACCGACCCCTCAACGTCACCAGGCTGCTCCAACGAGGGGGCCGGGCAGGTGTCCACGTGCATTTTGCCCTCCAGGGTCGTGTCTCGGCCCCGCGGAGCCCGGAGCGCCGGGTCAGGGCGGGGCCGCGCGGCATCCAGCCCCGCCCACCGCGCCTGGAGGGGCGAGGCTTGCGCGTCACGTGACGGCGGCAGCGAGCACGAGCGCCTCGCCCGGCGGGAGGAGGCCCGGGCAGCGACCCGGCCCGAGCGCGCTGCTGGAGCCGCCCGGCCTCCAGCGCGCTCTGCACCCGCGGCGCCCCTCGCCCGCGGCCCCTGGCCTGCCGGCCCCGGGCTCGCCGGCAGCGGGAGCGACCTCAAGATGGACGAAGACGGCGGCGGCGAGGGTGGCGGCGGTGAGTGTCGGAGGTGTGGCTGGCCGGGCTGGCGGCCTGGGGCGGGGCGCGCGGGCGCGCGGGGCGAGAGCGAGGGTCGGGGGTCCCGGTCCGCCTGAGGAGACAGGGTCCGGGCAGCTCCGGTGCCGGCTGGCAACCGCGGAGGCCCGCGGGGCCCCGGGACCGAGGCCGGGGTCCGGGGGCCCCGGGGAAGGGCGGGCGGGGTCGTTGCCGAGCCGGCTGGGGCCACTCCGAGTCTCGGGTCGGGTTCGGGGGTCCCTTTCCTGGGGCGAGGCACCTCGAAGGCGACCTTCTCCGCCTCCAGTCACCAAGGGCGTCCACGCCCTCCAGAGCCCAACCGCAGGAGGACCCTCGGCGCCTTTCTCAGGTGGTGGGAAGTGGGGGAGCCCACGACGGATGGGAGGGGAAAGTTTGGAATTGGGGATCCTCCGGGTCCAAGAGCAGAGGATGCGGGGAGAGGGTTGGAAATCGTGCCCGTTTCCTTGGCGTGGGGTCCAAAGTGGTCGGTGGGGTCTCTCGAGCGAGGAGGGCGCAGCTGGAGCGCACGCATTTTATGAAAAAGGAAACGTGACCGACTTAGCGAAAAATAAGTCAGGAGCTGCCCGCCCGGACCCGAGACCCCAGGACCGGCTGCCTGGCTGACGCCCAGGTCCCTGTCGCTGGCAGCGCCGCGTTTGTTGTCAATTATTTAGTGGAATGTCACGACTGTTGTGCTGCGAGTTACGCCTTTAATCCGAAGAACGTGCCGGTGTAGGGAGCGGGGTCGAGGGTTTGGGAGGCAAAAGGGTTAACCCCCCAATTTTACAGGCAGACCCGAAGTTGAGGATCCCTCTGCTGTGCCGAGAAACCTCCTTTTTGCCGACCGGCCGAATCGTCAGAACCCCTTGGAACAAGGGAGCGTTTGGAAAAAAGTCTAATTACAGGCTGCGGGCGCAGCCGCCTGCCTGTGCGTAGCATCCGCCTCGCAGGCTTCTGGATGGAGTGGTTCCTCCGCGCGCCTTCGCTGTGGAGCGCGGCGCAGGTGGGGCGGCTGCGCCGCTCGGCGGCGGCGGCGCCGCGGCCCCGGGGCTGGGCGGGGGGCCGCCGCGGCGGCGTTCGGCGAGCTCGTTTGTCGCGGATCTGGGGCTCGCACGGTGGCACCGAGTGGGTGTGTTGTTTGTGCAAGAGAGCGCGGTGGCGAGGAGCCCGGCGGCGAGCCCTGCCACGGCCAGGCGGCCTGTCCGAGGCTGTCGCGGGCTCTGTCAACGCCGGGCTGCCTGCCGCTCAGGGTTCGGGGAGCAGAACCGACGGAGCCGCAGCTCCTTGTTAGAAAATAAAGACAAACAGCTGTGTGACACAGGGTCCGGCAGAAGTGACGCCTGCTTGACTGTGGTGGCTAGGGTAATAATATGGGTGTAACAGTCTGTAGTTTTAATTTGAACATTTACCTAAAATGTCATATGGTGTGCTTGAGTCTGATATTATGTTACAGAAGGACACGCTTATGTTTTAGTAATAAAAGATTTTGTAATAAAAGGGGCGTTATTTGTGCCGGACCCTGTATTTAAGCGTTGGACCTTTGTGTCAACGTATCCCGCTGGCTTGGCGATGTCTTTTTTTTGGGGGGGGGGAGTATGTTATGAATGACTTTTATTTCCATTTATGCTTTTTCTGTGATGGATGCCAAATATATATTTTTTTTAAAAATTATTTTTCAATTGCAGTTGGCATTCAGTATTTTATACTAGTTTCAAGTGTGCAATATCGTGCTTAGGCAGTTATATAATTTACAAAGTGACCCCCTGATAATTCTAGTCCCCACCTGGCACCGTACATAGTTATTACAGTATTACAGACTGTCTTCCCTGCTGGCCGTTTTGTTTGGGAGGTGTTTCTGATTCTTTGAGCAGAGACATGTAGAAGGCTTGAAGGTAAAAAGCAGGTTTAAAGATCAAAAAAAGGAAGCCAGCGTGCCCCAGCCGTTTATAGACCTTGAGTATTAGAACAAAAGGTGGTATTAAGTATCAAAAGTCTTAAGGCTTTCTTTGGGCAGCTAATATCTCTTCTGGGAATACAGTCTTGAAATTCAAAAAAATATTTCATGCGTGAAGATGTGCATTACACTGTAATAGTAGAAAATTGGAAACAGCAGCACCGAATGGGAGACTGGTGAGGTCAAGTATGGGCGGTTTATTGGATGAATTGTTTTACAGCCATTAAAAATAAGCAGTTTTATACATCATGGTCTAAACAATGTCAAAACTGGTGACACTGTGTTTTATTTTCTTAGTTTTTGTATATTCCAAGTTTCTGGAACGATGTGTATTACTTTCAAAATGAGCAACAACCAAAAAACTTATAAAACACTTACCGTACAGTAGGAGAAGGGCATGATTATTTGAATGTATGATTTACTTCACCTCACTGGGACAGTCAGTAATGAACAGATATTTATTGATTGTCTCCTAAGATGCTAGGCAGCATGCTGGGTGCTGGAAAACAATGTTTAACCTTTCCTGATGGGGTTTATTAAGATCTTCCTTGCACTGTGAAAGACACATAAAAATATATTTGGCAATCTTAGAATAAGCGCATTTTTGAATAAGTAAAAATCTTAAGAGTTTTGAAATGTCATGTAGTGATTATGGTATAAATTTGGTGTGCTTATATTTAACGCGTGATTGCTGGAGGTTTTGAAGTTAACATACCTCTTTACATTTCTCTAGTTACTGCTACCATTTATATTTCTAAAACAGACTGCTTTGCTTAAAAATTCATGTTTTTAAAAATAAAATTCGGCCCTTGGAAAGACCATAAAGTTATTTGCCAGCCAATTGTAAAACATAACTTTTAGGGGGGTATATTTCAGGGTATGGTACAAAACTCTACAAGGGGAAGTCAGTTGCAGCTTGTTTACAAGATAGGGTAGATAATCTATTTAGTTATGGCAGGAGTGAAAGATAATTTAAAAGCTTTTTCCTAATGTGCTGGTTGTGTTAAAAGACTTAAACATGATTCCTCCCTGCTCTTTTTATAATGTAATACTCACGCAGGGTATTATTTGTTCTTTCAATGAAAGATAAGGCCAGAGGGGACGGCAGTGTGAATGGCTGGAAGGCAGTGCCGAGGAGGAAGTGGTGGGGAGTGAGATTACAAGAGCACATTGTTACTTACCCTGTGTGCAGGGGCAGTTAAGGTATGGTTCATTCCTTTGCAGCTTTCGTTGCCATTCTTTTTTTGTAAAACAGTTCTTGAGACGCGTCTCTCCTTGGCAGGTGACTGGCTGGTTTGGCTCAGGGCCACAGTCTTAATGCTCCATTTGGGAATCTTGTCTGATCGATGTTCCTGAACGGACGTCTGGGGCAGGTGAAGGGAGTAACTTTGCTGGCTGCCCCTCCATTTCCCCCTCCCCACCTCCCAGCCCAGCCGCTGCAAACAAGGATTAAGTCCGCGTTTCCCGTGAAAAGATGCTCGGCCTCCCTCCATGAAGTAAATGTAAATCACCCCAAGGTTGGGATCCCGGGTTTCACCTGCCAGGCAAGCAATAACCCCCACGTTTGAAACCATCTGGTGGTGATGGGAGTGTAAATGAGTCACAGGCTTTTAAGGAGGCAGCGCCAGCCTGCGTCCTGTGGGCTCAGAGCCACTGCCTGCCTTCCCCTGCCGAGGGGATCCCCCAGCAGACCCTTGGGGGCTGCTGGCTTGGGGCAGGCTTGGCCAGTGGGAGCCTCCACGGGAGACTGGACGGCAGGAGGAGGAGAAAGCAGGCTTCCTCTCCTCTCGGTTTGCCCTGGTGTCTCCGTGGGGTCTCCTGCTGGCTCCGGCGCGCCAGAGCCTGTTGACCCAGCTCTTGAGCTTTGGAAACAGCTCCTCCTTCGACCCTCCGACTTAGAAGTGCTGGCACATCTTGCTTTTGCTATTGCGTGGGCTGCCTTACCATATCCTGTTTGACTTCTCAGCTTTTCCATCACGCGTGCAACCAATTCCTTGTATGAAATTCCCTCTATTTCAGCTCCTTAGAGGAATTCTGTTTCTCTGGGTGGATCCCATAAACACAGGGGCGCTGGGCAGCAGCTTTTAAAATTACAAGTGAATAAATCCTTTGATCCAGCAGTACCAGTGCTAGGAATTTAACCTGCGGGTGTGTTTGTGCATGGGTGAGATACCGTAGGCACGAGGTCATTCACCGCATTGTTCGTAATAGTAAAAGGTGGAAAATAACCCGCGCGTCCCTCCGCAGGAGACTCGTCAGAGAAATCTTAACTATATCCAGGTGGCGAATGAAGTTGCGAGGTTGTAGAGAGGAGCCAGGAGGCCCTTTATGGATTGATAAATTTAGAAAGATCTCCAGAATGTTGACTGAGTTACAGAAGCAAAATGCAGGAAATGTGCACTGTGTGCTGTCATTTCTTTAAAGGAAGTGCTTGCACACGCATGCAAATTCTTGAGAAGGCTACACGAGGAAGTATGGACCTGTCTGGGAGGGCGGTGGGAACTGGGCAGGTGGGGCAGGTGGGGGTGCAGGGGAAACTTTCTGCTCGGTGCCTTCATATAGCAATATTTTTTTAACTGAAAAAAGGTTTAAGTCTGGCTTTACTTTTTCCAAAATGAGCACACAGTTTCATATAACAGTAGTATGCTGGTAAGAAAACACCCATTCCGAGAGAATTTTTGTATATTTAAAATAACACAATTAATATAAAATATCAAAAGTTATAAAATACAGTGCCTATGCGTAGGAAATTAATAACCACCATTCTTTTGAATGCTTACCAGGTGGCACGGTCGGCGCTCCCTGAGTGTGCTTAGGGTGCATTCTTTTCTAGAGTATTTATTTACTCAGCAAGTGCTGATAGTGTCCCTGCCAAATGCCAGGTCCTGTGCTTGGCACAAGGGCGAATTGTGAATACGGCAGGTGACTATCTTGTGTTTGTGAGGCTTATGTTTAGATGGGAGACAGAAAAGGAAACCAGATATGTAAAATGATCGCAAATTATGCAAAGTGTGTTGAAGGAAATCTA